TCTTCACAACTCCAACAGTAGATTTGTGCAACATGCATGCTATCAACTTCGTGAGTATGTTCAGGCGCGTGTTGCAGTTTCTGATCCCTTGTATGAGATGATCAAGAAGGAAGAGTTTGAACGCCAATACAATTCCAAGTTTTTGGAGGCGATTTCTTGCTCTCGTGTTGTAGTTGAGCCTGTAAGTTCAGGGACGTATGAGCCATCATCGAAGCTGAACTTAAAGGTACTACAAGACATCCTGAAGGGTATCTTCAAGATCCAGAAGGATGAGGAGCTTGCCAAAGAACGTGATGAAGAAGAAGAACAGGCAGCTCAAAACATCTCAAACCTGTTGGCAGATGATATGGAGCTTGATTTTGATGATGATAATGTTCCAGTATGGCGCTCCATTGTCGACAAGTATAGAGGAGGTGATCAGGTGCTACAGGGAGAAGCTGTGAAGATTACTCACCTGTTCAGGGATCAAAAGGACAATGAGAAGGCGACAGAAGCTTTCAGTTCAGAGAGGACAGATTTTTATGAGACCTCAGGACCTCTTCCAAGAACCGAGGGAGAAAATCTTGTAGAGGACTTGCTCACCAAGGATGTTGCAGAACAAGCTTTTGATGCAGGTGAAGAAGTTCCTCCTTATACAAGAGTCTCCACTATCGCTGGTGGAATCTATACTGGAAGTAGGACACTTCTAAAAGATGAGGATATGGAAGAGGAAGTTCCTGAAGAAGATCCTGCAGTTGAACCTGAAAAGGAAGAAGAAATATTTGATGAGAATGCAGGTGTTTTTCCTTCAGAGGAACCAAAGATGGAAGTGGACCAGGAGGAAGCCAAGGAGGAGTCAACACCATACTTTCTGTCAAGAGAGATAGGTGAAGACTCGGCTGCATCGCACTTACCATCAGGTGAGATGGATGCTAACCTTGATGATACTCTACGTCTGCCGAAATCTAAGAAAAGCCGCCTGAATAAAATACCTGATCCTCATTTTCATGAAGAAGTTCAGGATGATGCAACCATGGAAGAGAAGAAAGAGGCGGTGGAGAAAATAAAAGAGGTCAGAGAGGATGATGGAGAGAAGAAATTGGAGGCTGAAATCCAGGAATCTTTTCCATCTGAAGTAGTTGTTGAAAAGGATACAACAAAAGTTGACAATACCTATGAGTTGCATACTTCACCTTTGAAGTTGCTTGGAGAGCTTACAGGAGATCCAGGTATTGGCCTTTATCAACAATGCTTCAGGGAAACTCACGCAAGATTGCTGAATCATGTTTGTTTCAGAAAAGGTGAGATTTCCCATCCTCATTATCAGTCAAGGATCAACGAGAATGATTTTGTTCGATCCATTCGTAATGTCTGTCCAGTACCTCCACCTGATTGTCATGAACACGAACCAGAGCATGATTTGAAGAGATTCTTTATCAATGATGATCGCATCATTCATTTGGATGGCAAGTATCAGGTCGATCCAAAGGCCCTTGAAAGGGCAGAACATGCTCGAGAAGAATTGGAGGAGACGAAGAAGGAACTTAAGAAGGAACTGGAATCATATGGCCCCAAGGGACCCAGTTGGGACTTTGTCACCTTCTATGAAGAGCTGTGCAGAAGGTTCCTCAAGGGAAGAATAGAAGAACCATATGGAACTAACTTATTGGCCAGCTCAGAGTCCTTGACATTTTTATCCTGGAACTATGGCAACATGGTTCGTGGTCAGAAGTACACCACACCAAGGTTTCTCCAAGGACTTGATAGTGCAATGAGGCCACGCAAACAGAGCGCCATGTCACTTCAGAATGAGCAAGTTGAGAACAACCTTTTCTTCAACATGCTCTTCTTTTTACGTGCACATGTCGTGATTCTCCAGGAAGCTCATCTTCTTGTTCCTGCCAAGGAATTTATTGAGCAAAAGAATTGGACAGTTTGTTTCAATGATTGGGAGAATCTTGCAGTGATGGCTAGATTGGCACCAGGTGGATATGTCAAGATCATTGCTGGACATGATCAAGAACTTGGTCACTGTGAACAGCGTGATGTAACTTGGGCTATCTACGAGATTTGTTTTGGAGAAAACAAGGCCTCGTCAAGATTTCAAGGATGCAGACTTTGAATTTGATGACTATGGTCCTGAGGACAAGCGTGTTCCACTTACTCGAGCGAACATGCATACCATCAGAGTCTGTAATTATCATGTTGATACACACCGTGCTGTGGATGCCCACCTACTGACAGGAGAACAGACAGCATTGATGCTTTACGAGTGTTTTGTCTATGAGGTGGACATCATTTCTGGTGATGCAAATAGTTTGGCCTACAGAATGTCTGGGTACAAAAGGCAGCCAATGGCTAACTACTATTACAGCACCATGCAGCATTGGATCCGCAGGTTTTCAGAAGCTCGTGTAAAAGCAGATCCTGGTATCAAAGCACCTATTCCCAGAACATTTTACAGTTCAACTTCACAGGTCCTCAAGAAGTGTGAAGTTTACTTTGATAAACTCTGGGAAGAATATTCTACTGTTGAAAAAGAAGAATACCAAGGATCACAGCTTGGCGATACATGTTTGTCTACCATTGTTGAATGGGGTCATTCAATGAGTGAAGAGGAATATGAAAATTCCACAGTGAGCACGAAGGAGTTCATCTGTAATTTTTCAGAGAACTTTGCTATGATTGACACGGAGGTTATGTGCTCAAGACCCTCTGACGAGGACAGTCATGGTCCAATGTTTATTTCACTCAGACCAGCTTCCTATTCATCTGGAGACAGAAGACAGTATCGCATGGGAGCAACTCTTCATGAGGCGAACTTGCGGAGGAAGGAGAGACAGAAGCAGAATAGAAAGAAAGGAAGGCCGCCAACTTCTGATCAAGCAGCTTCATCGTCTGCAGCGGCATAATTCCTGAGCGAAGGCTGAAATTTAAATGATGGCTAGGAAGTGAAGATACTTCTGGTTACAGTTGATACTTTGCTTCCAAGCTTGACTTTAAGTTGCCGGGCTGAAGTTTTAAACTTTAGCAGGTAGATATGGACAGTTTTACATAACTGATGATATCTATCACCACCGCTCTTATGAAGTGACCTCTAATGGACAACCAGTCATGGTTGATGATTAAGTCATTTCATGATTTGCAATTGGAGTGCAAGATGTTTTTTGTACATACATTTGCCGGTATCTCCTTCTTGTGTTTTTGATGTGAATGTGAAAGAGAGTCCTTTGGATGCAGTTTTATTTTGTCTGTGGATGAAAGCGGTCGAGACCACGTCACGAGAAGATTATTCCTCGGACCGTACGCTCCTTGCATTTTGCAAGGCATTTTAATTAATTGCGTTTGTGCGGTCTTGAATTTTTGTTTCCTTGTTGCGCGAGTGTCGTTTGATTCTTTTATAGGTCTCTGTAGAGAAGAAGCCGCTTTCCCTTTTAGTTTGATTTAGCTCAGGCTATTAAGAGCTAGTGAGCGCCGGTACATGGTATCTCCGCCTGTGAAAAGTACAGTCTCCAGCCGAGGTACATTATCGTTTTGATTTTGTACTTGAGGTGAGTCAGCTATTGCTCCCTCACTGTATTTAGTAGCTTTGAGATTACCTTCTCTATAGTGTGAAACACACTGGATTAGGTAAGTACATGGCACCGTAGTTTTCTTTTAAGTTGCTAGAGCTAGCTGGACTGTTTTAGCCTCGCAGTAGAAAAAGAGTGTGCGACATACGCAATCAGCTAGGAGTGGACATGAATCTTGTGCCTGCTGAAAAGTAGAGCCTACCTGTACAGGGTTCCACTCCAACAGCCGATATAGTGTGTCCATACTTGACTGCTTCAAGGCTCAAAGAGCAAGAGGATAAGACTCTGCGCATAAAAGACACTAGCGGTCTGCACCTCTACCGTGTACGCCCTAGTCACTCTTTCACCCCCCCACCCCCACCCCCCCACCCCACACCCCTCGCGCCGTCCACCATTAATTCTTACTTGAATGAATGTAAAAGCCTTTTGCATCCACATGGAATGTCATTGTCTTTGCCATAGTTCCCCCCCACCCCCACCCCACACTGCTCCTACCCTCCACTCTGTTCAGCCATTTGCTGTTGATACAACTCATATAAGAATGAATGTAAAATCCTTTTGCATCCACATGGAACGTTATTATCTTGGCCATGGTTCCCCCCCCACCCCCCCACCCCCCACTACTCCTACCCTCCACTCTGTTCAGCCCACTCATCTGAACAGCCTAACTTTGTTTCTGAGTCGGCCGTTTGGGTTTCTGAATCGGCCGTTTTGGTTTCTGAATCGGCCGTTTTGGTTTCTGAATCGGCTCTTTTGGTTTCTGAATCGGCTCTTTTGGTTTCTGAATCGGCTCTTTTGGTTTCTGAATCGTAGTTGCTGAATCGGCTGTTTTGGTTTCTGAATCGGCCGACTTGGTTTCTGAATCGGCCGTTTTGGTTTCTGAATCGGCTGTTTTGGTTTCTGAATCGGCACGATTTTGGTTTCTGAATCGGCCAGTTTGGTTTCCGAATCGGCCAGTTTGGTTTCTGAATCGGCCGTTTTGGTTTCTGAATCGGCCGTTTTGGTTTCTGAATCGGACTGTTTTGGTTTCTGAATCGTAGTTGCTGAATCGGCCATTTTGGTTTCTGAATCGTTGCTGAATCGGCTGTTTTGGTTTCTGAATCGTAGTTGCCTGATCGGTTAGTTTCTGAATCGGCTAATGACCAATACACTCTGACTCACTAACATGGAAGTGGAAAATGGTCTCTTGGAAGACTACTTTCTACAAACAGTGGGTTTCCACTTCCATGTTAGTTAGTCGGAGTGTGAGCGTCAACACTTCGAGCCAAAACTGATCAAAACGGACTTGTGTGAGTTGGTTGGTGCAAAGGGTTCAAAGTCAAAAACGTCGTTAAGGCTGAACTCAATGGTCCATCCAATTCCTTTGCGCATTTCTGCGGGCGAATCGAAGCGAAGCCGGACATTTGAATCCCACGCGTTGGTTGATAAAACCGTGGTCCTTCAACCTGCCTGGGCACGAGCATTTGCATTGAAAGGCTGCAGGCTGCCCACTTCAAACATGGCTCCTGAGCGCGCAAAAAAGTACAGGCTCTACCACCTTCTTTATCGAAGGTACAAAATGCGCCCGACATGCCAGGGTGGTGCCTTCACTGGAACTACTCCAGCCAGCTCAATGCGGGTTTAACGTAAGCCAGTCCACATGGTCCTGAGAATAAGTTCAGAACTATGCTGAGATATGTATATGTATAGACTTGATTGGTGTTCAGGCCAGGCACATGACACATGTTGTTCTTGTTTAATTAAAGAAAAGTCTAGTGTAAGTGTCTCTTTCTTTCCATGTTGGTACAGTTGTGTTCTTGCCAATGATTGAGTCCTGCTGTCCTTGACCTTGAACTAAGTGGATCGTGAAAGAACAAATACCCCTGGCATGGCCAACACTTCTCTCCAAATGTGTCTCACTCGGCTGAGCATCTGAACACCTGAAATTTCAAGGGCTCTCGGAGCAACGAGTCACGCAGGGATGTGAGCTCAGCCGTTTGCTCATTGCCTTGTGCAACAGGTCCGTCAAAGTATGGCCAGAGTTGAAATCAAATTATGTTGCATGCTGCATGCAGGTCATGTGCTTCATGCATCTTCATCTGTCTGCAACAGACTGTCATGCATTGCAACAGAAATACATGCCTTATTTCACTGGAATGAGAGCCGAATAACTTAAGTTTAATCACTGCAGTGTCGAATAGACAGAGAGAACTGTTGCCTTGCGTTCGACTCATATACATTTCTGTCTTGATTCTGTACATATAAATATATATATTATATATATATATATGTGTTCTAGTCCAGGCTAGGCCTTTACTGGCTTGCAGTTCTTCAGCAAAAGGAGTGAGGTGTCGCTCATTCCGAGTCATCGCTTACACAAGCCCTGACCTGTCAGGCTGAGGAAAAAAAACACATGTATATAATATGATGTATGATTACATAGTTGTGCTTTCATTCAGGGTTTTGTGTCCACCAAATGGCGCAGCATCTTTCCTAAACCGGGTGAGGTCCGCGTTTTAAGAACTTGGAACTTGGATTGAACTGGTTGCCGTTCACATCAAACCAAGTTGTACACATCTTGCTGCTTCGTCACTGCCGCCTTTGTCCGGATGGCTTCCTTTCACTATCAGCCTGTAGGCACGCCGCAAGGCGTGCTCCGAGTTGTCCTCGGATGCGCGTTCAAGGCCAAGGAAACCATCGACTTTGAAGAAACATGTGCGTTTCTTCTTCTCATGATTTATTCCAGCGGTAAGTCGCAAGCCAATCTTTTGTGCAAGCAAATGTGCATTGTCATGCATAGTGTGGCTACTCGTTGTATCAATTACTGAAGTTTTACGACGAAATCAGCGGGCTGCCAGCAACCAACTCGAGAGTGTCTTGCTCGGCGGACTCATAGAACATCATAGAACATACCCTGTGCTCCCTAAGCTTTCCTTTCAAAAGGCCTCTTACCTTTGGCAAAGGCTTGGCTGTCTTCGGTGCAATGCATTGCACAATCGCAAAAATGCCATTGACAAATTGACAACCCTGATGTGCTCTAGGCTGCCTGGGCTCGCCTGAGGAAATGGGCACTACCCCTTTCGCGTGTTATACAAGAATGCGTTGCAGAACAAGAACGCTTTCTTAACTATCTTAACTATAACCCTTTTCCAAAAGCATAAACAGCCAGATCGTTGAACATGTTTAGGCACTAGCTACCAGCTACTCCCTCTGACAAGCGGCACCACCTGAGCAATCCAGAAATCCCTCACGCCCAGCATGGGCAAACGCCACGCAAGCAAGAAATAGCAGGAAAACCGCTGCCGGCATTGGAAGAGCTCGCAAGCGAAAGGGTTTCTTGCTGGTTCAGGTACTTTTAAGCTTGCATCTGCATGGGGTCTCATGCTGGGATGTCGTAGCATGTCGTAGCTGTCAGATTGTTCTGCCCTTCCAGAAATGATATATATCCTAAAAGACTGCAAGAACACACACGGCAGAACACACTAAGCATAAGGAATCGAAGCCTTCTCTCTTTGGTTGCCAACTTGGGTGCTTCCCATGAGCTACCTATGCTTAAGAGCTTCCTTGCTTCTTTTTGTAGCTGTGGCTCTTGTAGAGCAGCTATTGCGACATTTCATTCTGGCCCCAGCTTCGCTGCAAAACCATTATATCGTGACAGCATGTCCAACCCAGTTCCAAACAAAACAACTTGCAAGGCTCACTTCGTTCAATAGTACAGTATGCATTCGTTCAAGTGCTGCAGAATTTCTGTCTCTGCATTCTGCCTCTATCTTCTCTAGAGCCAACATGACTACTTGACAGAAAGGTGGTCATGCAGAGAGTGGTAGTGTCACTCTGTTCGACAGCCTTTTGCCTATAGGATCCTATAGGTAACTCATGTATATATAAATCATCATAAAATATCAGCCTCAAACTAAAGTAGACAAAGTTGATTGTTCAAGAAGTGCTCATGTGGACTGCAACACCTGCATCTTCCAAGTATTGCAAGTCAACATCTCTGACCATGATGCAAAAGTCGGAAAATATTCCGGTCTCATCATTCTGCATGCGTAGCATGCCTTTTCTATACCCTTGAGTCCTTGAGGCTATGGCAAAATGGTTCAGAAAGCCCCAAATCCGGCGTGGGGAGGGAGGTGGCTGTCAGGCCTGGCCTCTCTCCAGCGCAGGGACCAGTCATAGAGGCCCGAGCTTGGCAAAGCCACTGGGATGATCACCTGACAGCCAGTCTCGACGCTGAAGGACTTCAATCTCAACTGTATCATTATTTTTGTGGAACCCTTTAACGCCATGCAGTTCTTATTGCATTTCAGGAAAGGTCCAAAAACCATGTATACAGCAATGAAGACTCAAAAGGAGTCACTGTCACGTCCAAATACAAATCTTGGATTGGTGATACGATACACTCTGAACCGTGGTGCATTATTTCACCCGTTGCGTTTTTGTGACTTTTCTTGACAGAGTGCTCAACGAACTCTTGCTGCATTCAGGACAATAGCACGTCTGGCTATTGGCTATTGATGGTGGGCAGGCACTAAGCCACTGCCACTGAAAATGGTTCAAGAAACTTTTGCCAAGGAAATTTTTTGATAACAACTGACAAGACTGGAAAAGACTGACAAATGATTGGTGATTAGTGGCGATTCAGTGCTCGGTGAGACGCTCTAGGTTTCCGTGTGTCCTGGCGAGACAACTTCAATGGCTCTCATGCTCGCTCAGAGCTTCATCATGGCCTCCACAGGAGGCCCTTTTCTCAACTAATTGGATTTCTTTCAGGAAAAATTGTTGCTAATGTTGCATCCAGGCTCCATGCAATGAGACTTGTCATGATTTGTGATGATCATCATGATCCGCTCCCTGCGTACCTCAAAGCCAAAAAACATGAGACTCTTCGGTGTGCCTAAGTCTCCTACCTGTTTTCTTGCACCACGATTACTCGAGTAAGTGCCATTGCAGACCCCCGCTCACTCCTAATCTTAGTGTTGATTCTCACCGACCTCTACGATCGTATCAAAGCGTATCTATTGTGGGGATACCACTCGTACTTATCAATACTACCAGGAAATCAAGATCGAAGAATTATCTTGTGCATTTTGCAACGAAACCTGGAGTGGACTTGCGATGATTGACCGTGTTTAGAACGCGTTTCTTTATCTTGTTTGTACCAGTCCAAAGAACATGAGTAGAAATATGTACAAATTAGAGCCAGTCCGCCTCGCAGCCCCCCAAATGCGCCTTAGAATGTCCTGTTCCCTGAGCCATCGACGGGTTCGGGATGGTTCGGGCTGAGGAGGAACACTTTTGTTTGTCCAAACTTGGGCAGAAAACAAAAGCCACAGCTCAGTATGTCGTGAGGTGGTTGGATAGCAGTTGGATCCAACGGAATTTCAGATGCTTCTATTGCAAAGCCGGCGCCATTTTTTTGACCTGGGGCACTGGAGCCTTCAGCCTTCATGTTGCCTCCCAACATGTATCTTCAGATCCGTTTCTTTGTGAATGTCAGGGTCTCAATGAGACTCTGAACCGACTGCAGAAAAATTCCCATTTCTCTCCTCTCCATGAAACCTGTTGATCGCACCTCGGGCAGGTACGGTGCACTAGGAATCGGATACGATGTTGACGACTTACCTTAGCATCATCCAACCTCTGGCAGGGACTCCCTTGTCAGAGAATCTAAATTAGGGATTCCGCAAGATTTCTCAGGCTGATCTCATGTCGACGAAAGGATTGCAAGCAAGCAGATCCTAGAATGCTTTATATTGTTTTGGAATTCAACATGATTCAGCATGTTTTGGCTGGATCTGTTCCGATTCCACAGAGCCTGCATGTGCTTCGTTTTATCATCCCATGTGCTTTGTTCGTTGGTACATGGGTGGGGCAGGCTGCGACCACCGTCACGATTGACATACTTAGATAAAGGGTTTGCAGTTAACGCTGTTCCACGTAGAAAGGGATGAGGGAAACGCAAGGTGAAAAGGTCAGCGCAACTGAAATGTTGAACAAATTGATCACTTGTCTGCAGAAACGCGGCTGAACGACGGCGGCTGAAAGCAGCTGTGGGAAACCTGTTTTGGTGGGAGTAGCATGCAAAAACCACCATGAAACAAACCGAGAGTGGAACAGCGTGAGCAACAGTTGATTGCAGGTACGTCGGCAAGCGTCCTTGCCGATATCCTAGGATCATGTGAGGAGCTTCGTTGGATGGAGCTTCACATGTCCTCTCCATCCCCCTGCTCTTAACAAAACTCTTTTGGACAGAGTATGACACACACAGCGTGCCGATATCGGCGCTCGAAAGAGATTACGAGCAACCTAAAAAGCCTTAGAAAGAAAGGAAAGGAAAGAACAGAAAGAGAAATGCAAAGGACAAGAGGGAAAGATAGGTGTAGCTACGAGGCCCACTAGTTACAAAACCTTCTAGTTACTGACTACCTAGCACTCTAGTTGCTGAATACTTAGCCCTTGAATTGAGGGAACGGAAAGAAGTGCTGGGTCCGATCAACAGAAGGCTTCCACAAGAATTAGTTACTGACTACTTAGCAGTTCTTAATTAGGTGCACTAGTTAGCGAGCGGGACATTAGTCTTAAACCGCCCGGGTAGATAGGAGTAGGACAGGAGAAACAGAAGGAAAGGTACCGACACACAAGTGTGTCGAGTAAAATTACCTTCTGTTACCCTAGATAGCGGGTGGGATAGAACTATGAGTTCGCGTGCAAGGTGAGGGGGGTGTGGAAGTGAGAGTGCATGGAAAAGTTCGACCGCAAGTGGAAAAGGATCTGGAAATCGCAATCCTGAACATGTTCCGTTGTGCAAATCCGTAAAGTGGAAAAGTTGAAACACGTGGAGAACAAGCTCATCTCAATCTTGAAAGTGAAAGCTTGCAATGCCGTGAAAGATCAGTCGCAAAACCGGCGGCTTTGATGTTGAGAATACAGTAGTGAAACGAAAATCCGTTAAGATAGTCCAACGCGTGCAGAAAGTGGCAAAGTCAGTTAAGTGGTAGTCCAGCGTGAATTCAGCGCCCCAGTGGCGGGGATCACACTCTGCACCCAAGTGGGACGGCAGAGCGGCACACACTTAGATAAAGGGTTTGCAGTTAACGCTGTTCCACGTAGGAAGGGATGAGGGAAACGCAAGGTGAAAAGGTCAGCGCAACTGAAATGTTGAACAAATTGATCACTTGTCTGCAGAAACGCGGCTGAACGACGGCGGCTGAAAGCAGCTGTGGGAAACCTGTTTTGGTGGGAGTAGCATGCAAAAACCACCATGAAACAAACCGAGAGTGGAACAGCGTGAGCAACAGTTGATTGCAGGTCCGTCGGCAAGCGTCCTTGCCGATATCCTAGGATCATGTGAGGAGCTTCGTTGGATGGAGCTTCACATGTCCTCTCCATCCCCCTGCTCTTAATAAAACTCTTTGGGACAGAGTATGACACACACAAACACACACACCGGACGATCGTACTCTGGTGGCAGCTGTATGGAACCTGCCAAAAACCTTTGTAAGACCGGATTCAGGATGTGGCGTTTTCACCAGCTGATCACTGTGATCCCTCCAGGATGAGCAGGTCGAAACAGAAACATATTTTTGGGAACGCTTCCCATGGTTCTTTAATGACTCAACCCATGTCGCACACCCCAATGACGTAGTATTGAAACAGCAACAGAAAAAATTATACTCCAGCATAGACCCCAAATAGCACAAGATCTTGGGGTCAGCATCGAAGCGCTGTGTTTTGTCATTCAACGTATATAGACGTGTTGTGGCAGCGGCACCCTGCAGCGGCACCTCACCGAGGCTCCAAAGCGCACACGACCACGCACATCTGGCAGCAGCATACTGCAGCGGGACTCTGCAGCGGCGCCAGCACCCAGCCCCCAAAGCGCACAGGCACCTCTTCCTATCCTTCAAGTCAGAACCCCAATGGCTCTCGCTATCTGGAGCAAACGTAGCTCAGCAAAAACCGGAAACAATGCGCCGGGATACATGTTTGTTATGCATTGATCTTGAAGACTGTTCAAGCAAGCATTCGAGCGATCCAAAAAGTGTATGTATTATCTTGCTGAGATGTGACAAAGCTACTTCTAGTCTACCGGTCTACCCGGAAGCTTGAATGCTATGAGCTCACAACAGCACAGGACAAATGGGCTCAACTGGTGAACTTGCCAGTACAATAAAATCAACGTCAAAGTGGCACAACTGCACAAGCACTGTCTAAGCAAAGAGTTCAATTTCAAGAGCAAACTTATATAAATGTCTGGTTTTGTGCTGCTGAGGGGCGTCCATTTTCTGGGCATCCATCCGGCGAATTGAACTCGGTCACGGAATGTCAAGAGTGATCAGCTTTTT